TTCGAATGTAGGAGTCGAGGCAGAAGATCTTCCTGCCTCCGACCTAAACCAAAGGCTGGTTGACGCGGTTGCAGCAATCAGACAGGTGAGCAAAGTCTCGAAGGGCCTTAGCGGCTGCAGCAAGAAGGCACTTAAAGAGGCCACGGCCTCCATTGTGGAAAGTACTCAAGTACTTTTAACGCGCACCGTTACGGAAGAGACGGCCCTGCTGCGGGCCCAGAACAAAAAGCTCGCAGCACAAATGGCGGAGCTCCGCAAGGAGCATGAGGAGCTCAAGGCCGAGATGGTAAACTTCCGCCGAGAGCACCTCAGGCAAGAAGTGGGCCTTGCGCTCCCGACGCAGCAACCGCAACCGCAGTCGCCGTCACAGGAGACTGAGTTGACTCGCCTGATCCGTAAGGAGATGGCAAGTTTTAACGCGCGCTTCTCGGTGCTGGAGGGGAAGATCCTGCGTCCACCCCTAGCTGCAGACCAGGGCCGCACTTCGGCACCGACATATGCAGCCCAAGCTGCAGCGCCTCGTGCCGCCCAATCGGCACCAGCAGCGGGTGCCACACAGAAAAGGAATATTTCAACTGCCGCCTCGCAAATGAAAACTGCGAGGCCAAAATCAGATAGGCAGTCAGGAAAAGAAGCCAAACTGGCGGAAAAAACAGGTGCCACCGTCCGCCCAGTAACACGCGAGAATGGCACCAGACCTGAGTCGGAATGGAAGGTTGCGGGCGCTGCCAAAAAATCAAAAAGGGCACGCCAGCGGGCCAAAAAGCAGGCCCAGAAGGTAGAAGCGGCTACCAAGCACAAGACCGCAAGGCTAAGTACACCCCGCTCTACAGCAGTGACTCTAACCCTGCAGCCAGGGGCGGAGGAGCGGGGCCTTACGTACGCTGGGATCCTGGCAAAGGCGAAAGCAGAGATCTCGCTTAGTGATCTCGGCATAACGGGTCTGCGGTGTAAGACTACCGCGGCCGGCGGTCGCTTACTAGAGATTTCGGGAGCCACGAGTGGGCCCAAGGCAGACGCCCTTGCCGATAGACTTAAGGCGTCTCTAGGTTCCGAGGACGTGAGAGTGTCTAGGCCAACCAAATGTGCAGATCTGCGCATCTCAGGCTTGGACGATTCCGTTACGCAGGAGGAGGTCGCTGCTGCCATCTCCAAGGCCGGAGGATGCCCGCCGGAACAAGTCAAGGCGGGCACGATACGTCGGGGTGTCTCCGGTCTTGGGACAATTCTCGTCAGCTGTCCCGTAGCGGCGGCCAAAAAGATTGAAAATAAGCGGCTCTTGGTTGGATGGGTCTCGGCGCAGGTCGCGTTCTTAGCTCCCAAGCCCTATCGATGCTACCGCTGTTTGGAAGAAGGACACGCGGGGGCACGGTGCACCGCGGGAGTAGACCGCAGCCAAATATGCTTTCGCTGCGGTCAACTCGGTCACAAAGCTAGCATTTGCATTGCCAAGCCGCACTGCGTCATCTGTGCGGCATCTGGCAAGCCAGCCGACCATCCGACCGGGTCAAAGGCCTGTGCCAGACCAAAGAAGAACAATGCCAGGAGACAGCCGGTTCATCCGCCGGCTAGTATACCGGCCTTGACACAGCAGGCAACCAGCTCTTCGCAGCCGGTTCACCCGCCAGCTACGGCAAAACATCCGCCGAGGGCTGGGGAGGAGGTCATGAGCATGGAAACTTAATAATGGCCCTACGTCGTCTCCTTCAAGCCAACATAAACCACTGCGCCAGAGCTCAGGATCTCTTGCTTCAGAGCATGGCGCAGTGGTCGATCGATGTGGCAGTTGTCTCCGAGCCGTATTTTGTGCCACCCAGGGATGACTGGGTGTGCGACACGAACCGCTCGGTAGTACTTATTTTGAGGTCTGCTGCCGACACCCTTCCCTTCGAGGCCGTCACCCGAGGGCGGGGCTATGTCGCGGCAGTTTGGGGAAATGTCATGGTCACGGGGGTGTATTTCCCCCCCAGCCTTTCTCTCGCCGACATGGAGGGTTTGATATTGGAGTTGGGCACGATTGTCAGTCGAAGTCATCCTCGTCCCGTGATAGTCCTTGGGGACTTCAATGCCAAATCTACGGCTTGGGGTTCCCCGGCTACGAATGCGCGGGGCGAATTAGTGGAGGAGTGGGCGGTCGAGCAGGGCCTGCTTCTCCTCAACCGGGGTTCCGTGCAGACGTGCGTGCGGCAGCGAGGTGGGTCTATAGTGGACCTGTCTTTTGCTAGCCCCACTCTCGCACGCACTGTCCAGGACTGGCACGTCTTGGAGGAGGTAGAGACGCTGTCTGACCATCGATATATTCGATTCAGCGTCTCTGCCCAGACCTCGGTTGGGCCGGTCCAAGCAACCCCGGTGGGCGTTGGAGATGGTCCGCGTTGGGCGTTAAAGCGGTTGGACAGAGAGGCTCTCCTGGAGGCCTCTATCGTCAAGGCCTGGTTGGGCTGTCCAGACAGGCCAACCAACATCGACGAGGAGGCGGAGTGGTTCCGGGAGAACATGTCGCACATCTGCGACGCTGGCATGCCCCGAGTCCGGCCGCTACCATCCAGGCGCCAAGTGTACTGGTGGTCGCACTCGATTGCGCAATTGCGCACCGCTTGTGTACAGGTGCGACGCCAGTACGCAAGGTACCGAAGAAGACGCCGCCGCCCCTTTACAGCTGCGGCCGAACAGGAAGAGGCGGAACTATACAACCGCTATAGAGAGGCGAAAAGCGCCCTTCAGCTGGCCATTGTCCGGGCAAAGGCCCAGGCCAACGTAGAGCTGTTGAGGACTCTGGACCGAGATCCGTGGGGACGCCCCTACCTCATGGTACGGGGCAAATTGCGCCAATGGGCCCCCCCATTATGCCGGAGTCTCCAGCCACAGCTGCTGGAGGAGGTGGTGTGTGCATTGTTTCCGTCGAGACCGGAGCACACACCACCGGCTATGGTTCCGCCTCGTAATTCGCCCAACGCGGATGAGACTGACGAAAACGTGCCCGAAGTGACCCGAGTAGAGTTGAGAGTGGCGGTGGCTCGCATCAAGAACACCGCCCCAGGGCCCGACGGCATTCCAGGCCGTGCATGGGTCCTGGCTATGAGAGCTCTCTGGCCCCGACTAGCAGGGCTTTTAAGCGCATGTTTGGAGCGGGGCCAGTTTCCAAGCCGGTGGAAGACCGGAAAGCTGGTCCTGCTCAAGAAGGCGGGGCGCCCCGCAGACTCCCCGTCTGCGTACAGGCCGATCGTGTTGCTGGACGAGGTGTGTAAGATCTTCGAGCGAATCATCGCCGGCCGCGTCGTCCAGCACATGACCAGGGTGGGGCCTGATTTGGCGGACAACCAATATGGTTTCCGCCAGGGGCGCTCCACGGTGGACGCGATCATGCGCGTAAAGGTCCTGGCGGAGGAGGCAGTCGCCCGGGGTGAGGTGGTCTTGGCGGTGTCGCTCGACATCGCCAACGCTTTCAACACCTTGCCCTGGAGTACCATCCGAGAGGCGCTCCGATATCACGGGGTGCCGCGCTACCTCCAACGCATTGTCGGGGCCTATTTGTCGGACAGGTCAGTGGTGTACCCGGGTCGAGAAGGATGGGGTCGGCGAGAGACGTCGTGCGGCGTTCCGCAGGGATCGGTGTTGGGTCCGCTCTTGTGGAACGTTGGCTACGACTGGGCTCTGCGCGGTGCTCTACTCCACGGCGTCGGCGTCATTTGTTACGCTGACGATACGCTAGTTACAGCGCGTGGAAAGTCGTACCGGCAGGCGGCCATACGCGCGACTGCTGGTGTCGCGCACGTCGTGGGTAGGATCCGGCGGCTGGGCTTAGAGGTGGCATTGCACAAATCGGAGGCCCTGTGTTTTCATGGGCCAAGGATGAAGCCGCCTCAAGGATCCAGCATCATAGTAGGAGGGGTTTCCATCGCTGTTGAGTCCACGATGAAGTACCTCGGACTCGTTCTCGACAGTCGGTGGAATTTCGGGCCGCACTTTACACGGCTCGCCCCCCGGTTGATGAGCGCCGCTGCTGCGCTGTCGCGCTTGCTGCCCAACCAGGGGGGGCCCATCTCCTCCTGCCGGAGGCTCTACATGGGGGTCGTACGGTCGATGGCGTTATACGCCGCGCCAGTATGGGCGGACGCCCTGACGGCCCGTAACATCGCCGCGCTGCGAAGACCACAGCGCGCGATGGCCGTCAGGATAATAAGGGGATACCGTACGATCTCCTTTGAGGCAGCGAGCCTCCTAGCCGGATCCCCGCCCTGGGACCTCGACGCAAAACTCCTCGCGTCGCTCTATTGGTGGCGCGTGGAAGCAGTCGAGCGAGGCGAACGCCTGGTGCCTCGACAGGTTGAGGCACGCAGGGCGGAACTCCGTCAGGCCTTAGTGGCGGAGTGGCAGACGCGTTTAGCGCAACCCACGGCGGGGCACGCCGCTATAGCGGCTGTAAGGCCCTTTCTAGAGGAGTGGCTCAATAGGAGCCACGGCGCCCTCAGTTTCCGGCTGACGCAGGTGCTTACTGGACACGGGTGTTTTGGGAAGTACCTGTGGCGCATAGGCCGGGAGCCGACGTCTCAGTGCCACCATTGTGGGGATTGCCGCGATGATACGGCGCTGCATACCTTGGTGGAGTGCCCAGCTTGGGCCGAGCAGCGCCGTGACCTGGTCGCGGCCGTAGGTGCTGCGGGAAATCTCTCGCTTCCGGCTGTAGTGTCTACTATGGTCGGGAGCGAGTCAGGGTGGAGTGCCGTCGCTACCTTCTGCGAAGCCGTGATGCTCGCAAAGGAGGCGGCGGAAAGGGAGAGAGAGGCTGCCTCCTCTCTCCCCTCCCGCAGCAGACGCACTAGACGTCGTAGGGTGGCTGACCTGCGGCCACCGTAGGGTGCGGCCTGCGGACGACAGACTCGGGGCGTCTTGTCGTCCGACCAGCAGCAGGCCTCGAGGCGGCGGCGCCGTGTTCCGCGCGCGCCTCATAATGGAGTCCTGCGGTCGGGGTGACGGCCGCAGTAGGTGACGGGGCCCGCCTAACCATCTGGCGGGCCAATACCCGTCGGGGGGATGCGACGAATGCTTCGGCGATACCCGCCCCTCCGACACATGGGTAAGTGGAGGAACACCGGGTTGGTTTTTAGTCAGTATGAGTCTGACAGTACCCTTCGCCCTTCCCCGAGGGTGGTGGGTCTCCATGAGGATTTTCCAACCCGACACAAAAAAAAAAAAAAAAAAAAAAAAAGGAGATAGTAGTGAAATTGGACTTTAATGTAAACAATATTTTATTAAAATATGAATTTTGTTAAGAATTTGCTGCAATTAGATACAAGTTACTGACAACTTATTTTTTTGGCAAATAATTGAAATAATTTGCTTATAATAAATTCGCCAAGGTTCTGATTACCATTTGCAAAGAAATTTAATACTTTTACTTTACGCGTAATCCAGGAATCGGATCCAACAATTGATTTCCGTTTCCTACCAGAGATAAACTCGAACCGCCACACCCCTCGCCAAAAATCTCTGATGCGTTCAATTGAACAATGATCATTCATGGGACGTACGTACGTGATATTTTAAAGATAAAATGAGCATTCACGAAATAATTTTAATTTATATCCTGAAGATAAACCTAAGTAAATTTAAACTAGTGAGAATAAACGAAATGAAAAAAGTGTCTACTAATTGAAGGGAAAAAATATTTAAGTGACAAAAACAACGCAACCCTATTCAAAAGATGATTAAAATATTTGTTCCAACGAACGTCAAAAACTCAAACAAATTAAAAATAATGAAGTGTGTAGAGCATTAATGAAGTGCACTCAGAAGGATACGACAAGAGCTCGAGGAGGATCAATAAAATCGACACTTTATTGCATCCGTGCTTGACAGAGTCTCAGTTTCTGAACATTATTTATGTGCGGACCAATATTTTTGACACTTGCACATGACCCGAACACAAGTGGTCCATTGTAAATTAACTAAAACAAGGAAGAATGAGTGCTTTGTCATCACTTGTTTTATGAAACGTTCTGAGTGACATTTGGTGCATACAAGAGCACAGGTGGACTGTTTGTGGAATAGTTATTATGGCTAAGTGACTAATGACGTCTGAGCTGATGTTTGTTTTGAGTTTTTCATTTGTTTCGTACTTATTATAGATTGCGATGGATGACTCATTTCAACAACTTTAGATTATGAGTTGGTTGAACTTACCTCCCAAGCATACCGCCTGTCCTTTGGTTGATTCTCCAGTAGTCCAAAGAAAGGACCGTATTGGGTACCGTTAGCGATATTCACTCTTGCAAAAATCCCTCCGCTTTTAAATATCAGTTCACTTGGCAAGTTTAAGTCTCGTTCCCCTGGATCATCATCTTTTGTTCCATCTTCTTTTTCTTTTGGACTTTTTGGATCTAAGAACCTTTGGTTCGGTAGATCTAATGGTCTAGGCAGATATCCCCGTCCATACTCGGGGAAGTTATTGGCTAGATATGTGTCGGAGAGCCCAAAATCTAGGGTTCCGTAGTATTCTTTGACATCAGTTCCTGGAGGCATGTTTTCTTGTTTTATGTGAACTAAGGTGGGCGCTGATTCTGATGTTGCAGAGTCAGTCGGGCTTGGCGGTGGACTGCCAGACTCTTGGCTGTCTGCTGCTGTGGACAAAATTGCTATAATTAGACTGGTTAAAGGTTATCATATTGAAATACACAGCAAACAAGACCTTAATAGTTAGTGATGTCTCTTAATATTATCTGATGTAGGTATGGTTATTCCTTTTCGAGGAGCAATATATTATATCATGTCACATTCCCAGTTAACAATCTAACAGATTTTAATTTCAACTTAACAAAAACTCTAGTTATTACAGCATTCATGATTATCTTTTATTAAACCGATCTTTAACAGAACAAAGTGTGAATTGAAGCGTTACGTTCTCCTAAGTTTTCATTATTAAACTGGTTACAGTTTTGAAAGACGATACGTTTATTAATAATTAATATTGATTTTCATTGTGTTTGTTGCTAACAGTTTTCTTATCTATTCTAGACGATATCGGTCCGGTTTAAAAACCGAATCACGAATACATTTTTGAAATTCAATTCTTAATTCAAATGTGTTCCAAGTTTAAACAAGGCTGCATGCCTGAGAGCAATAAACTCACTGGCTGTTTTATTTTATAGTTGAGCATCGAGCGAATTATAAAAAAGTGAAGACGTGCAAGATGTTGATCGCTTTATGTCTGTTTCCGCTGTTCACAAAGAACTTCCGCTTGTCTCCTGTCTTAGGTTCATCCCTGGTTAATGCAAATTCACAGACATTTGCCTTCCATTCTTTAATTGGATCTCAATTTTTGAACCTCCTTGGTAAATTAATAGAGTTTGTGGTTGCAATCAAAATTTGTTATATGCTCAGCTTTTTCTTATCGGTTTGGTTTAGTTAGTATGATGTCAGTATGGTAGATAATGTTAGCTTAAAACCTGTTATTATCATTATATTTGTTTTACTTACAGGTATTGCCTATTAATTATTTTACACATATATTGCGCAATAGGCATAGATAATTATTACAAGAGGAAAATTAAAAATAAGTATTATTATCTATGCATTGTCCAAAAAGATAAGTATTTCAACCTACATAAATAAATTTGGTAAAACCAGTGATAATACTGTTAAATTTGTAGAGAAATATATCGAAGTTAAAAACCGACGCGCGACGGTAACTTAAATTAATAAAAAAAATTAAGCGATCTGTTCAATATAGCTGATTCCATTAAATTTAAAAACAGAATTATTAAATTTAACAAATTATTGAATAACAACAACACATGAAGTCTATAATAATACGTATTATTTGAAAAAAAAATTACAGACATTTTGCACAACTAAAAAAAACAATTTGTAATTTTATACTTACTAAAAAAATATAACAATAAATCGGTGAACAAAAAAAACATGAAACAAAACAAAATTTTAGCAATACCATTCTTAAAACGACCACAAAATTCACATTAGTACTACAAAACACTAACACAAACAAAGTACACCCTATAACCAATAACTGCATCAAATAGATCATCATCATCAATAACAGTAATAAAGAAAACACCCTGTGTTTACTGAAGAAGACTAAATTCATAGAGCACGCGACCCCAACAGTGTTCAAGACATGACATTAATCATACATACCCCATACCACTAATATACTTGTTAAAACAACCCCTATCTTGTCCTTCAAAGCACGTGGCAACATAAAAAAGATAATTTAGAAAGAAAAAGATAACTCGCTCTACATGATAAAGGATTAAAAGACAGGATGTTCATGGTTTGTGAATCTTTTGTGTGAATATTCAACCCTGTTGCTATGCCCGTTCACCTGTCGTCTTTATTTAAATTATTTTAGTTTTTTATGTTTTTATTATTGTATTTATTTAGGTACTAAAGAGCCTGAACTATGGTAAGATAAATAGATTGTCGCAAGCACGGTCGCAAGAGATTTTAATTGTATTTTTTGTATATCGAATTTGATTGTCATTTCTTTTTCCTATAATCAATTAAACTATCTCAGACAATTTCAAAGATCTTGATGATAATTTGTAACATTTCTTTCGACTTTTCTTCTTCTTTAAAACAATCAATATAAAACAGGGTCAATTGACACATAAACAAAAAAAAATATTCGATAAACAATGATCGATAAAACCGCTTCGTCTACTAAACAGATAATAACGAAATGGTGAATGACAATGTCAGTGATTCATCGTTCGCGTCGGCGCAGGAGCAGCGTAGACGCGCTGTCTGCGCACGCACACATAACTCGCACGTTTTCTAGTACTGACTAATGGCCGCACATAAAAACCGTTTAACCGAAAATTAACGTCAAATTTTATCTAAATACTGACAGTTTTTTTTGTTTAAGTCGTCTTATAATTATGTGTGAGGATTTTACTGTTGCTTATGACAACTGTGTTGGAAACGCAATTGAATTTGAAAACATCACTTATACCGTAATGTTGGTGAGTTATCGCTGACATGTTTTGCCTTTACTTATCCGTTTTAAAACATTCTTAGCGCAAGATACTATACAATTAACTGGATAAGGATAAAGCTTTCAACGAACCAACTTTCTTTCAAACATCTTATACAAATAATACCGATACAAAGCCGGGACGTAACAACTTAAGGAATGGGCTGCCATAAAACTGATTCTCAAATTTCAAATTCAAATTAGCCGCCGCAAGGTCCATTTGTCGCATTTGACCGCGAACGCTTCGTGTGCGGACAATACGGACGAGCCGTCGTTAAATCTCCGGTTTCCGTAGAAACTCGCGACAGATTTAAAATAAGACCAAGCACAGACATAGAACACGGTGGAGCGGCTAGCTGTCACTACAAGATTTACCTCGAGAAAACTTTGCAAGTGTGTCCAGCACTTTAACTTGATGTCAGTTAAAGCCGTTAGCTTGCCACATAAACTGATTGGTGGAAATCGTTTTATGTCTAAGGGAAGTGATTGTTTCATAGTAATCGCAAGTATGACCGTTAAAAACTTCATAGCAACCTCTAGTTTATAGCTTTATGTTATTTTTGTTTTAAAACATGTTTAGAGATAAGAACTCGAATACATCTCATGGGATTTTTAGTCCGATGGACCCCACGGCATGCTGATTTCACATGTTAGCTACGGACACTGACAATAAGCGGTTTACGTTGCACTCTGCCACGACAGTTCACGGTCCAGCCTGTGTTGACTCATAAAACACTCTTAAAGCGACAAAAGATGAACGATAAACTAATAAGTAAAATTATTTCTTTATCGTCCGAGTTAAGGTCTAAATTTGTTTACAAATTATTTAAAACAGATGAATGCGATGCTTGCCAAGCTGGTGCTAAGTTTGCTCATCTGAGATTCGGCGGCAACGTTAAGAAATTCACTTGGCGTGCGGACCTGAATGGCTAGGCATTCGCGGAAACCTGTACTTTCTAACATCACCTAGGTGCGGTACGCTTTAATGAGCCAGATGTAAGCATAGTTGCTTATGTTAATTTTCACATAAGAAATTAACTGAAAGATGCTTTCAACTCCGAGATTATCATTTGAAAAGATGTTGGTGTCTTAAAGTGGGCGCGTACTTCCATTGTGTTAACACTATTGCAATAATACATTGTGACGTTAGAATGATTCCCAATACCTAAATATTCATTGCATGTATGGAAATAGGTGTGAGTCTGCTTCAATGGGGATTGGGTATGTTCTAATTATAACTCTAGGTAATTTGCGGTTACAAACTAACGTGGTTAATTATAATGTTAATTGACTATTATAATTTACCTATTAGCTTGGTTGACTATGTACTAGACTACCACAATTTTCTTAAACGTAATCGATGGGTGATTTCGAACAAAGGATATAAAAGCCGATAGTTCTCAGCAAATCAAACAAGTCAGTATTTCGATTCTTTTTCGCATTTGTGTGATGTAAACAATGTTTTTAACAATGCAAGGTGTGTTGTGCAAGAAACAAACAATCTTTTGGTGCCGGCGGCGTCCGTCAAACGTTCACAACCGTCCAACGCGAAGCTGACATCAAAAAATTATCATATAGAACCTTTTTTATGTATTTTCGCACACCCCTGACAGAACCACAGATAATGCTTAAGAGCCCAGATAAAAAAGAGACGGTTAGTGATGTTTATTTGTGGTTAACAAGCGAAATAATTTGAAGAGCTTTTGGACTCCTTGGGCTTGATCTCCTTATCTGATTTTACGGTTGTTAGACCTTTTTTTGACAACGTTTGTCATCTTGTGATTTAGATGTTAGTTTTGTTAAATTTTTGGAAGATATTTTGTATTTGTTTAATGAAATTGAGAAATATTATGAAGAATAAATTATGATTACTTGACTTTAGAGTTTAACTTTAATTATTTTATTGTTTTCAGAACATTATATACATAGCTAATAGCTTTGATTAAACAATTGACTTTAAAATTGGAATATTATATAACTGTACCTCGTATGATACCTACACAATGAATTTTGCCTTTTAACCCTCGATGTGGTATGTAGATATATAGATATGAAGTGCACAAACAATATTAGGTACCTACAGGTACGCAAATTTTACTAGTTGTGAAGGTACACAATTAATAAGAAGTTTAAAAGCCGAGCATTATTTTGCAAATATAATATTATCCTGCCTTTGTGAGACATAATGATTGATCTAAGTACATTGTATTAAAACATAAACTCTTTTTAATAGGTACAAATGCATTATAAAAAGGAATTAGAAAATTAATTTATTTTCTGCCACTTAATTTAGGCTTGTATAGTTTTATCCTAATAAATGACAGACTTCCATTTTCATAAAAAAAAAGTTTATTTTTATGTTGCGAAAAAAAACCATTGATCGCCTTATATGTAATTCACATAGGTACAATTCAATGCACCTTTTCACTTTATCTTTAATAGTTATCAAAAGCATAAGACAAATTATATTATCTTCCACATATCAACAATCCACTAGTTTATTATCTCAACTTATAATTACTTATTTATAAACTCATCGAATTCGTTAATTAAAACTCACCAGACATCTTCATTTTGTAACTCGTATCAAAATTCAGCATTCGCATAAATATTTATCATCGTCCGCAATCACAATAATTAATTTAAAATGTCTAATTAAATTAAAGCGTCAATTCAATACACTAGTAGAATTGATAAATAAAATTAAAGTTTTTTTTTATATATATAAACACAAGACAAGAGTCTGCACAGCACTGGTATTATGGCGTTCGAACTGAACTAGAGATGTGAATTAATTCTAATTCACAATTAGGAATTAGATGTTGTATGTAGTGATGTACCGAAACGCGTGTCGATGTACTCGCGTGCGATTTGCTTGTGATAGTCGTGGCACGGTGTGTGCGGCGTCGGCGACGCACTGTGCCAGAATAACGCGAGAGGAAGCGAGACCCAGCTCATCCCTAGAATCCCGAATCACATACCCTCGCCCGGGCCAACCCCGCGCCCCCCGCCCCGCCTGTGTCTTTGTGTTACACCCTTCTCTCTCACACAAGCGATTCGGGGTCGCAATACAAGGTTACCGTCTGAAAATAATCGGCGAGCTTTTTCAATGGACAACGCTTTATATTTTGGAAAATAGTTTGCCTCCACTTTTTCAGATGCTTTACATTTTGTTGCTTGTTTTTTTATAACACTGAAAAGACTACGAAAGGTTAATTTTTCTTATCAATTCTACACTTATTAAAGATTACCGTTTATGTGTTTCAACTTAATAATCTTTTTGTACTTAACATATTTCATGTTACAGACGAAGTTGTTACTAAGAATAACCATGTTAGACTGCTTTAATTAAATTATCGTCTTCCTGAAAGGTCGTAATTCTTTATAAAATTCATAACAATGCTATTACAATATTTTACATCGGGAGCGACCTACAAACAATGGCCCTTCAGTTATCGACGGTGCTTTATAACAAATCACTTGTACAACACGACCAGATAGCTTAGAGCTCTGATATTTGAATTGAATCCTTCTCGAGGTGCAGTGAGTGCTTGGTACCGGGGGAAGGAGTAGATCAATCGACGCTGGTCACTGATACGAGACAAGGCGCCGATTAAGAAAACAAACTTGATTGAATGCGAGCCAGCAGTCTTGGGCTCTTATCGCATCATGTTCGATCGTTCTATAATGCTACCGTACTGATTTTTGCCAATACAAGTCATCAACTCATTTAAAATTATTGCCTAAATACAAGAACAAAAAACAAAACTTCTTAAGACAATAAAATAGCAAATTTATTCCTAAAACTATTTATTTACACAAGACAGTCAACTGTTTAAGAATATACAAATCATCACGAAATCGGTACTAAGGTCTAACTCAATAATAAAATTGCCAACTACTTGAGCTATAAAATAAAACTCATATATTGTAATCAAATAAAATAAAACGCAAGACGTCCATTCTCTAAAGCGAATAGCATTTCAGTGCACAGTTGCGTTTTATTCAGCGTATCTGAAAATAGCTATCGCGAGAATGTGCCAAGCGAGACGGCAGATAACTAGATAACGCTCAAGATCTGTGGCGGGCGGCGCGATTGGTCGCCGCGGGCGGTAGGCGGGGCTGCGTCGGTGATGCACCAATGGGATGCGCCTTATTATCTGCGTCTTTGTCTGTCAGCGGATTCTGTAGTGATGTAGCAGGTGCTCAGAGCATCGAGAAGGTATATACCTAGCGAGACCAAAGTGCTAGAGTACGGGTAAATACCATGATGGCCGCTCGCTTTCTTTGTCTTTAATGGCCTGGATAAAAGCAGTTTATTGATTGAATTATGTTTGATATTTAGAACAAAAAGGTTTATATCTAATTCCTATATAATGCAGGCTGGTTTATTGTGGAATTCCTAAAGTCTTAATCCTAGTTAAAATATTGCATTGAGATTTTTATATTGTTCCGTGATTTCCAGTTAAAAGTGTATCCTTAAACAATCTACTTTATTAAGTAGAAGGAGACCATGATTTTCTATTTGTTATGTTTTGTAGCACCTTTATCCTCGCAAAATACTTTTCGATCAGAACGTATAAAATAATTTAATAATTAATATTTTATTGAGATCGTGATTTTTTAATTTTTTTAGAGTCTAAAATGGATAGGCACTATCTTAATTTTATGCTCCACAACATAATATCTAAAAAAAACTATAAGAAACACATTATGTGTGTTCTATTTACAAATCACATAGGCAATTTAACGCATTGAAATGTATTCTAAAACAAAATAAAATATATTTACTCATTATTAACAAATCAATAACAATAATCATAAAAAAATAAAACCCAATTTATTTTAACTCAACCATCTCAGATAATCGACTACGAAGGAACCAATGTGAGTTTAATTTAAATTTCTATTAACGCTTCAGCGAATGACAAACTAAACACGTTATCGTGAAGGTGACAACTAGAATTGATTTGTGACAGACACGATGGTCGATAATCGATTTCCAGTTTCTACCGATGCTGTAATCGATTCCGCGGTTTATGTTTAATCGATTGTGTGTCAAGTTTTTATGAAAATTGGTGAATTGTAAAATGTTCAAGTGTTAGATATGGAGATTTCTTTATTGTTTTACTAGAGATACTTACTTTTGTAGACGGTATATTTATAAAGCTTTCTTTGTGAAGGAAAATTATCAAATGACTTCTCTTGTCCTGGGTCGTGCGAGAGGGAGTGTCAGACTTTTGTTGACTAATAACCCCCGTTCCTTCTCATCCTACCAGGCTGAGTCTGCGATAGGTACCTTTTTGCGCTTACCTCACAATCTCGGCTGAGTGTAAGCTATAAGCTAGTGTACTCCTTTGAGTACACTATACTCAATACTTTAAACCAAAAACTTTTTACTTTTAAACAAATTTAGCGTCTTCTTCAGGTCAGACATCAAATGATAAATTGATTTAGCCTCAAATGTAGGTACACTTAACAATATTGAAAATAATATTGATCCCTATGTATTAAACGAAAAATTATCTTCCCAAAAACGAACCTTAAGTGTTAAATAGGTACAATAACTACTCATCTCTATTAACTCATCCAGATCAGATACAGATCCGTCCAAAAACAGACATTACCACCTATCAATATATTTTTTACAAAGTAAAATAATGTATGTAAACTTTCCATTAACAAAGGACAATGAACAACTCATTCATAATTTAATACGTATAGAACAGTAGGTACATATAACCTACTAACTATAATAAACATAGCAAGTTTCCCTATGTCCCGAAACACCACGTATATCATTTTTATCCTGCCCCGAACGAGTATATGAAAATTTAGTCCGCAACAGAATTTATATGATGTAATGTATGCCGTTATTAGTTTTTAAGGAAAGAAATAATTTAACCGCAAGATTTTATATTCAATACTAGCTTCCTGACTGACTTTACTCGCTGCTCGGCTCCTATAGATCGTAGCTTAATGTTTTATAGTATTCCTCGATAAATGGACTATGATTGATCAATTTACAACCAGTATTTTAAGAGGATAACGTGTTCAAACAGACAAATAAACTCTTCAGCTTTATTTTAGTATAGATCTGCCACTTTGTCGGAAAAATTCTTTGAATAAGCACTTTTTTCTTATCATTATTATGATTATCTTTATTAATTGTGAGATTTAGGCAGCAAATAAACAGGTTTTATGATGCGTCTAAGAGTTTTTAAATGCAAAATTTCCAAATTTTAATTTCTTACAAAACTCACAATTTTGAATTGGCTATTCTAAACGAGTCGTAAAACCTAAAACAGTAGTAGTTTTTGAAAACGATAATTTTAGTAAAACTAAGTATTCATTATTTAAAACGAAGGCTGGATTGTATGTAAGTATATCTAACAAAAACATTTCTTTTTTTATGGTATAAGTCGGCAAACGAGCAGACGGATTACCTGATGGTAAGCAATCGGCGCCGCCCATGGATACCCGCAACACCAAAGGAGTTACGAGTGCGTTTCCCGCCTTTTTGGGGATGGGGGTTGCGGATATAAGGATTGGGAAGGGATAGGGGAAGGGGAGGGATTGGGCCTCCGGAAACCTCACTCACGCGGCGAAACACTGTGGGTGGTATTCTGTGAGGCCGTGGTATCACTCCGGTTGAGCCGACGCATTCGTGCCGAAGCTTGGCTCTCCCACACTTATAAAAATAAAAATAAAACTGTATACTCTGTATATTATTATGTTTGCATTCAAACCAACATGCAAACACAAAATAAACTCCAACCAACATAATAATATATGATATTAATCAAATCTTCAAAGTTGATACAGTTCTATTTACTGAGCGAGAAGTTGGGAACTACAGTGAGCCTGTCAAAACCAACCTGTCCGTGGGCCAAGCCAATAGGATCCGAGTTGAATTCCCAATGACTTGGCTACGTGACACGCAGCCTTGTACCAGGGTCAGTTCTGTGGCAACAACTTTACTTGGGACCTCCCCACCACCCACCCTTTGTTAGTCGCGCGACAACCCTACAGGAATACTTGAGCAAAATAAGAATTTTCGTTGGTGATGCTTTGCTATGAGCTAAAGTAAATTTCGTAAGTCTTCCAACGTTATGGTGGCAATAAAATCATCTTTTATGAAATATGCTTAAAACAAACCGAGGGTATGTCTATAGTAATGCATACATTTCAATGTTTCCATCAGTGTCTGTGCCATACTACCATTAAATTAATAAAATTACTGCATTTGAAATGTCAGTCTTTCTTAAAAAATAAAAAATTTTGTTGCCGAAAAAAACTTAACATCCATATTCTAGAACACTTTTAAAAATCATTCTCTATCATCTGATGGTTTCAATCATCTACATCCAAATCTTCAAAAGTAGATCATAGCGAAGCAAAGCAATGAGTTTTAAACCCGAGATACATATCAAGTGAAACCCATCGCAGTAACTTCGGGTTCACGTATGGCCATGCATTGTGATCGCTGCTATCGCCTTGATAAACTACCGTCGGCACTGTCCGACCACTTTCAAAGGATAAACTATGGAGTTTAAAATGTCCCTCAATGGACCGAGCACAATAGATCGGTTCCCAGCACCGTAATCTTAGTAGAATAGAATAAAAATTGGAATTCTAGTTCAGTTTGTTTTCAAGATCGATTTGAGTACGTAGGATTGTTGCTTCAAAATCTTTAGTCACATATTTCTCCAATATTTGGTGCGTTTATAAGCTAATATAAAGAGAGAAGATTGTACTAATAAATCCTTCCGATTTACAGAAAATCAAGGCAAGTGAAAAACTCTAAAATATTTACACAGGTTATTCCCATGTAGATGTAGTAAATCGTTTGATTCTATTAAACCTATTTAATCAACGTTACCAAAACGCACCGCCCTCTCTTACCCCGATACAAGCCATTTCACTAACACCAACACCCAAACGTTCAACGACCACCAAAAGAATCACCTTTAAAATGTCCAATTTAAATTGTTCCGACAAAGGGGCGAGCCATTTCAATTTTGAGTGAGGAGAGTTCTAAATCGAAAAGTGCGATAGCCACTCCGTAAGCGCCTCCTGGGGCGAGTCTGTACAATTTATGGACGTAATAAAATGGCATTAGAAAGTATAGCTGTGCTACTCTAGGATAGAGATTACCTCACGATCAACGTAAGCACCCATTACGGATAAGTGGTAAATATAAAAATTCGAATTTAACTCAAAAATCAGACGAAATGATTAAAATAGAACAGGGACTGATACAATTCCACTTAACCTTAATTTTTGTAATGGTGGTCAATTTAGAACAGTTCACGGCAGGAACGGAAGCAACTAAGTTAATAATGTCTGGGAACGCTCCGAAACATGATGGAAATGTTTCTCGCATGACGGCCGCGCGTGCCCACTAAACTTTGTTGTTTATTCTCATCGTTGGATCAACCGCCAATTATAGCGATCGATTCACCTAGATAAAATTCTTGTTTGTAAATAGATTCAATTTTAGTGATCCCTTCTGATTTAAGACATTTTTCTTAAATAAAAAAAAAATTATAGTAAACTAGCAGACCAAGCCACGCGTTGCTGTGACTAAGGTAAATAATATTGTTACTATAAAGTTGGATCAAAAGGCACACGGAATGTAAATCAAATTTAAAATCGGTTTAGTAGTTTAGGAGTCCATCGCGGACAAACACATGACAATTTTTATATATAAGGATGAACGTAATCATTAAATTAATAGAAATAAACTAAGCAGTATGTTTTCAAATTACCTACCGCTCGTTCCCCTTTAACAGACAAAGTCAAGACTCAAAAGATAATTACAGCTTACTTCTAAAACACTTGCTGTTAATCGTAGAGCGTCGGAACTGGGGAAGTATCATGTCAAATTAAGTAATCGTAGTGTAATTGAGCTCGGTATCAGAACGGTATCAGAGAACAACGTCAGCTCATCAATCAACCCTCCCCTACCCGGTTTTTCTTCAGTCCAAGTGTAAAACTTCTAGCGATAGTCTTTTAATTGATTTCTTCATTCTGATTGGCGGGTGGTAATCTTTTAACGTAGGTTATCCAATCAGAAAATCACTTACCGTGTGCAAAAATTACTATCAGTCTAAAGCTATCAATGAAGTCTTGGGCATTATATTTTATTGAGTTGAGCAAAATAATCAAAACTCCGTATAATCAGTCACATATCATTCAAATATTTTGATGGATTAACATGACATACGAATTTATAATCTTCTTAATGGGAATTTCGTATACTTGATTACTTCTAGAAAGTAACATGACTGCTACTGCTCTTTTAATCATTTTTGCAATAATGCATTTGGTTTTCTCAAAAATATGTTTAATCTGTCACATAAATAACGTGCGCACCACATTTTACATCCAATTAAGAAACCCATGTACTAGGAGAATATACTGCAATACAAATCGAGAAGAAAATGTATTAACTCGCTGCCGCTTATGACTTCGTCCACATAAACCAAGTTACAGTGTTATCCTCACTTCAGTTTTAGTAGTCATTACAGGAATCTCGCTAATGCGTCTTGAGTTGCGGTTAGCTGCCGTGTGGAACTGCCTTAACGAGGGGAGAACTTTTATTTATCGCGTTAAGGTTTTTTACTTTCTAGCAATTTAGATATCATGATGTTTTCGCTCTTTGTTAACTAATTTACTTGTTTGTTACACTGTGAATTAGAGTTAGTGTCGTGATTTGTTTTGGAAGAATAATGTTCAGAATAAAGGGAATAAATATGTATGTTTATTTTTGGTTCTTTAAGCTTTTTCGTATTCCTGTGTTTGTATATACATACGTGGTAGTACGGGGTCTTTCAACGGGTTTACGAGTACAAGCGCGGCCCGGCTAGACGCGAAAGAAGCCACGTGTGGTTTTCAGTTTATAAGATAGACATTCTCTCTCGCCTCACATAACGTGGGAGAAGTCAATGTGGATGACTTCCCTCGTTCAAAAAAAGTTAATTCAATTTCGAAATATTTTCTGCACATTTTGTTAACCACTTGATTAAGATCATCATCTAATACTTTCTCTGTCCATATTGTTGGACAAAATATGACGTCATATGGACGATATTTCCTAAATTGTTTTGATTTGTAGCGATTCCATACATATGTACATTCATACTGCGTTTAAAACTTCTGTTATATTTTGATATCTGTTCAGTATCGGCACGTACCATCAATAATCACAATATATATCAGATTGACACGTGATAACTCTATGATCCAAATTATCACACGTCGTGATAATGGCTAATACACTAAAACATTGCGCGTGTAAGACAAAACAGAACTACGAATGGTTTTTAAGATTAGATTTATTGGATAGGATCTTAATTTAAATTAATGTTTTAGTTTTTAGTGTACCGAAAGAATTACCCCTAAAAGAACCATCTCTAATTCTCCACTCTATAGTTTGTTTTTTTATTCAGTTAAATCGTAACGTCGAAGTTCTTTGGTATTTTCTATTTTGTTTACGTATAAAGACACTATCAAGGCTGTAGAACTGCAATTTCACTGTTCAATGCCACGTCAAACATTATTCAAACAGTAGACTACCATTTTATTCTCATGCATCAAAATCACCGTCTATCAAAACTCGGACCCTACAAAACGTACATATTCGAGTTGATAACAACGGCTGCGCATTGACTCCGTTACAAAGGACTCTCGCAAATTACACACCAGCCCAGCAATTACGTGCCCATAACAACAGATACATTTGTATGACAATGTTCGGGATTTTTTGCGAAATACGATATTGCACTCGACGTTGTGACTTTGTTGTGAGAACAAATAGTTGGGTTTTAGGAAGCGGTAGCGTTCGATGTTTGAATTTTTGTTGTTTTTTTCTTGATATGTTGGACTTGACCTTTTGGCTTTTTACTTTTTAATTTGTTTTGAAAGTGAAAAAAGGTGGATGGAAAAGAAAATATTTATTTTAAAATATTATAAAATTATAAAAATCGAACCGAATGCAAAATTTATTAATTTAATATTTATAATAAAATTGAAGAGTAATGGAATTAGTTACGTTTGTATTATATATTTATTTTATCTTATCGCATCTAAGCCCGGCACGATCTATCAGTTATTTATATGAAAACCGGTTGACTGATAAGTGACTAGGTAGGCAAGGCACCTAATCTTTAGAGTACGTAGATCAAAGGAGAACCAATTAAATTATGTTTTATCGAACATCACTTATAAATGTCGTGTTAATTTTGACGCGTTTAAATGCCAAACTCTTCGGTATCTAAGCGTGTCTGTCAGATAATAAGTAACCATTGCAAAGTATACCTAATTACCTAGAAATAAGACCGACTAAGAAAATTGTTAGTGACTTTCCAACACTACAAATTCAGTTTTTATGAAAGCAAAGATCAAACAAATGCTATCTTTTATAAAACTACTAAACAAAGGGTGACAAAAAACATAAAAAAGCTTATTAAAAGCACATTATAACAACATTAAAATCTACCGCTATCAGTGAGATAACAGCTCACACGGTTGGTGACCTTCCGGGGCTCTTAGAACTGATAACTGCTACCGAAACTAACGCGACCTGACCCTCACTTAATATTCATAGAACTACGAACTTCACACAATGACCAGCAGTTCAACCTACTCCTTTCTTTATCATATTTTCAGCTTTATCGTTTCGATATAAAGTCTTAAATGTAATGAAATTAAATTGACAGATTTGTACCATCTTCGCCGAAGCGGCACTTTTAAGACTGCCCTTACATGATACCCTCATGTTTTGTCCAGTGAATTTACTGGGTATTGATAGTGTTATTCTTTTGAAAAGGTGTCTTAATGTATTTTTTCTATATTATCGGTATCCTATGAAATTAATTAACAGAATTCAAGGAATTGTTTGTCAATATCGAGTGAAGAAAATTCCAAGAAAAAAGAGGTTTTCAAAATGGTGACGCAATATATGGTCGCCATCTTTAGTTGCAACTGTCAAAATGACAGCACGTACTTGATGGTATGTTTCAAACTTACTAAAGAATTAATATTATAAAATAATCCCCAAATTAAATGTAACAGCAATTTTGTCGGTATATAGGTAAAGTTCGCCCATGTATAGAATTTTATCACGCAAGGTCGAGGCAACCTTGAATGATAAGATACATTTAAGATTACGTTGATTACTCCCGAGAACGTGTATAAATATCGTGTTTCTATATACAGAGTTATATTTAGAGTTTTATACTCGAACATTCCGCAACCTAAATCCTGACTTAAAGTTCTTGTGGCTTCATGAGAAAATAAAATATAGTTTTATCAGTCCTCAAGCTTTCACAGAAATCATTTTCACCAACTAAAACCACGGTGTTCCTACGAAAAATCAATGGGGCATACGTCTATTCCCGTTTCGCACAAAACCATTTCGCCAATGATAATGGGCCCGTCACCGAGGCGCGAGACGCCCGACTGCGATCTGTCACCAGTGAATGTGTCAAAGGGTTTTTGTCAAGGCGTGAATTAAATCGGCCAGCGGGAGGCACGACGCGATTGATCGTCAACTGGTTATATCCGATTCAACGATTGAACACCCTGTACCTACGTGTACTGAGTTTTTTTATTTCCACTAAATCAACGTTCTTTCTACGTCATATCTGATTGCGTTTTGAATTCACAAAATGTTTTAAAGTAGCTTCTTGTAATAAGTCGGTTCCATGGATAGTGTTTTGTTTTTATTGTTTTTAATACTTTTCTAAGAATATGAAAAATTGATTTACGAACGAGTCTCTTCGTTCTTAGCATTGTAATTGAAATCTATACTTGTCTTTTGAAGACAGTCTTGTTCTAAAATGATATTTATTCTTACAAAAAATGTAACAGCCCTACAAATGTGAATTGAAAATGATAACTTAATCATTAATCACTTTCCTAATACAAAGTACGAGAAAGACATTCGGAGGAGTGAGGTTCATCTGTTACCCCAATGTGCCGATCAAATAATTACCTTCTCGATAAAATATTGGCAGGGCTGTCCCCAGCGTCGGCGTCGCGGCGCCGCGTCCTCCCTGCGAGCCACAACTGTCGATGTCACCTTAATTTACGGCCTTCAATTATAAATTTTACATCGCACCAGCGACAAAAGAAAGCCAACCGTATACAAAACAAAATAAAGTTGTTACTCGCGT